ATCTTTAGATGGTCTTGTTTTGGACCCTTTGGATAGAAGTAACAGAGAGTAGCCTGAGAAAACTTTTTTGGAGTCTGAAATTCATGAATTTGTGATGAGTTGTAAAGTTGACAAGGCAACAGATACAGTTTTCCTATGGTGTTCCTTCACAATAATTGCACAACCACTAAAGTAGACCTCATGACAGTTTTCTCTGAGCTTTTCAAAAAGAAATTTTCTGCCTCTGGCCTTGATTGTACTTTTCTGGTGTTCATTCCCAAGATTGAAAATGCTTCAAATCCTATGGAATTTTGACTTAGTAGCCTGTATGTTTTCACAAGGTGATTGCCAAGGTTCTTGGTAGAGATTGAGGATGATGATGGATATGGTTACATGCCTGTGCAGAAGGCTGGCAGGTGCTGGATGCTTCTTTAGTAGCTAAATCTGACAAAACATTGATTTATGAACTGTGGGCTATGCTGCAACCTACTCCTAATATTTTGGTTATTATTTTATCGCCAAACTTATAAAATTATTTCAAAAAACATGATTTTATACTAAGATTATTTACAGGAATAGCAAAATTATTAATGTTTCTATTTAGAATTGAAAATTAAAAAAAATGTCAAAGATAATTTTTGCAGACCTCTTCTTTGTTAATGTTTGTTACTGTGATTTGTATTGTTAAATAAAACAAGTTGATTGTTTTAGTTAAGGATAACCTTAAGTTATAACTTTCAAACAACACTAAAAATGAAGTAGAGACAAAACAAAAGATTTTTTTTCATTTTCTATTAGAGTTTTCACAGTTAATGATTTACTCTTAGTTGTATGATTGGGAAAGGAACTAAGGATTTAATTTGTAAATTGAACATGGGAAGGCTTATGGCCATGTTTCATAGGCATTCCTGCTTGTTGAGGAGGATGGATTTTGGGGAGAAATGGTGCTCTTGGATTAAAACTTGGTCCTCCTAGATTAAAGCTTGAATCTCTTTGATCTCGCTTGCGCTCTTATAGTTAAGAAGGGCCTGTCTGAATTCTTTAGGCTTCTAGTGGGCCTTAGCAAGGGGAACATCTCTCTCCTTTCCTTTCCTCTTCATTATTGTTGTGGAGGCACTCAACAAATGGATCATAAAAGCTAAGGAGCCAACAGAAGGGGAAAAGAGACAAGTCTTCCAAGCAAGGTGGTTTTTGGATTTAATTTAAATGAGAAAGTGTAATGCACTTGAGAGGAGGGATTGGAGAGAACTAGTGGCTGACGAGGCTGAGCACCAACACCAGTGTGCACAAGGTGTTTTCTGCCTGGATATGAAATGCACATTTCCACTGCTGCTTCATCTCAACTCTCCTTGTTCCATTTTTTGTTGCAAATGAATCCATCTGGGTTTCTGCCAATTCTTTTCCCTTTTGACTTGGTATTGATAGACTGCTTCATTTCCCTATGATATTATACATCTTTCTTACTTTTTCAGTATCTCTAACCTTCACTTTGCAGGTACAAGATTTTATTAAAGCTATATTTGCTGATTCTCCTTTGAGAAAAGAGTGCCTATGGAGAGTGGAGAATATCTGCCTCTAAATTTGCATTCCAGAATCTTTAGTCGATAACTGCCACTTAACAAGAAAAACGGTGAAGCAGAAGCAAGATAAGGGCAGAAGGTGAAGGAGAAATGAATGGACTTTTCGGATAAGTATGGCAACCTATTTCCTCTTTCTTGGAGAACAAGTGAAGTCAATCCCAACTTCCACTGATCCTGTGAAAGTGAAAGATGCAGTTTCGGTATTAGTTTTAACTAGATAATTTTTCTTTAGAAAATGAAGAGAATTTGTTTAGTGCACATGGAAGTTTCTGTACAATGTGTTTGTACATTTTGGTGTTGCTGAAAAGAAAGGGAAAAGATTAGGTGCTGATTTTTTATCAATGCTATGCTCCCCTTGTAAGCGGACTGTTAACTGTGGAGAGTGAGGAATTAGTCTGTAAAATCATGTTAGGTGCAGCCAAATTCTAGTGTTGCTTTCCTGGTGAAGCCTTCTCAGAGTGATTGAACAGTGAAATTTATAAATGCTTATCGGGCCTCCAATTCAAGTCCATAGATTAGAACAAACGCAACTGGGAAATCCTTATGTTCAGGCAAATTTTCATACTGTATGTTAACTCATATTCTTAAAAATCTCAAGTAACTTCTATAGTTATCTAAAAATATCTTCATTTTTGTTCTTTAGTTATGGCCTACTACTTACAAGAACCATCATATGTGGAATCTAAAAACATTTTAAATGTTTTCATTAATTGCCATGTAAAAATTTCAAAGAGTGTAGCTAGATTCTTTTTCCTTAATTTATTATTCATTAATTAATAAAAACTCGACAAAAAGGTCAAAACCTTATTCCTAAATAAGATAGGGTCGAGATTAATAAAAAAATGCAACCCGTAAATTAAAAACAATGCAGTCGTAAGGATTGATCGTAAGTTTCATAGAACAAAAAATGTCATCCAGTACAGTAACAAATTACTGGATTCATGCCATGCCACACACACTGCTTGCCACATGAAAATCGATTTTACCCTAGGTTTTTTCTAACTTTTTTCTTCTAGTGCCTAATGAAAGTTTATCACAACTCATCCTTGTTTGAGGTATCTTCCCCCATTAGCTCTTCAAGGGAAAATTCATCTGCTTCAATTAGCTCTCCATCTTTGCCATCCCAGGGTTCTGTCTTCTCAATCACTGGGGTGCCACCAAGAGGTAAGTTGCCCTTCCCTCCACGGCCAGCTTCCTTCACAAACTCTCTGAGAAACCAAATGGGTTCTTGTTATGTTCAGTTATAAATACGAATCACATGATGCTTCCTGATAAAGCAAGAAAGGAAGCTTACATGATATGCTCGAGCTCAAATGCACTTTTAAGGGGAGCATGTGCTCCTTTCTTCACATTCAAGGCAACCATGGCTGGATAGCCGTATCCTCCAACACCCACACGGTTTTCAAGATCTGGCTGCTTACCTGCAGCAGCCCAAACGAAGCTGCAGGATATAAAACCAGTAAGAAATGTGTTTAACCATTGATCCAGAGAACTTTCAGTCACAAACATGCACAAAAAACCACATTGCATGCGTGCGAGTCTATATGCAATACTGGTGTTTCGAGGTGCACAAAGAGAGATAAGCTAGAGATATTGGGCATAATCACCTGTAGGGACTCCTTTTAAACTTCTCTGCAACTGATAATAACATCTCAAGATACTTGTTCCTTCCTTCTGCTTTGGAATCCAAAATGTCAGGTAAGAAACTGACAAAACAGATGGCAGCTGAACCACATTTCTCTTCCATGACATCCTATATGACAGGTAAAAGAAGATGAAATTACAGTTTTGGACTATCAAATTTAAAAAAATTTCCAAAAAGAAATAAACTTCCGAAATGATAATTGAAAAGATACCGCACTAGTCAGCTCAGTCACTTCTGCAGGTCCAACATTTGTTTCTAGCTGTTCTAGAGCAAATGATTCAATAGCGGAGGCAGTTCTAGCACCCTCATAAGGAATCGGGCTATCTTTATCTGCACCAAATACCAAGATGGTGGGGAACCCTTCCACTTTGAACCTGCTCATGAGAGACTGATAACAGAGACCTCATCAGAATTTGTGGTTTAATCCCCACAAATGGTGCATGAAACACAGCCCTTTCCAAAGATTTTACACAAGCAGTAAGTAAAAAATGCATCTATTGAAGTACAAACTGATACGGAAATAATGACAGGACATCACTAGGAAATGGAAAATAAAGTTCGAAAAGGAATTCAGAATGTAAAATTATGCCTAAGAAACAAAGTTTTGATAGGACTTGTTGCTCAAATAATAAGAAGTCTAATAACATAAACTATTATCTTACTTTCTCAGAGTCACAGTCAACATGGCCCAGCTTCACCTTCCCCTTCAAGTTATTAGCTGCCTTCTTCCATTCAGGAGCAAGCTTCTTGCAATGTCCACACCTAAAAAATGAGTTTAGTAATATTTGTATGGACAGAAAAAAAAATCTGTAAATGTGTGATTTTACGCTCAAACAACAGAACTTGCCACTCAAAATTCAGTACTTAACCTAGTAGCTAAACAAAACATGCATTAAATATTAGGATTTTCTCTTTTATAATAATTTATCTTTGCAGTCATATACGTCGTTCAGAATCATCAATATTAATCATTTGATATTAATCAACTTTTTTGCCCATATTCTATAACTTGAGAGGAAGTATGCGGAGTTTAGTTAAATCCATCGAAATATTCTAACAATCCAACCAGAATGCATGTAGACATATGGATATCAATAGTATGTCCAAGAAATTTCAGTTCATAACTGCCTAAACAAAACAACCTGCCCCATCATACACAAGCAATATGACTAACAAAGGTTACTTACCAAGGTGCAAAAAACTCTACAATCCAAAGTTCTTTACTCTTGAGAACCATTTCATCAAAATTGCTAGAATTCAGTTCTACTGATGCACTAGGTTCAGATTTCTCGCTGGATCCTCCAGATGTTTTCCCACTCAAACGTTCCTTCAAAAGTGCCTTTATCTGCATAATTTTGAAGCATATAATACTTATACCATAGTCGTTATTAAGTACATAGCATGTTCATGCCAAAAAGAAATGATAGAGGTAAAGCATGTTATTCCATCCATGGTTTAGTCAAGTGTCAATATGTACAGAACAAGGGATATATGTATTCAGTTTATGTTTGAGAGTTTGATGGGTAAAGTAAAGTCTCTTTTGTGAAAAATTCAGCAGAATAAAGGAAAGTAAGATTTGTAGTCAAACCTTGTCTGACAATTAATTATATTTGAAAAGGTAAAAGGAGATTTCTGACCCAATCTTATTTGGTTAAAGAGAACTAAGTATAGTAGGAAACTCAAAAAAAATTATTATTGACTATATATGAACCCCTCCCAACACTATTTTTCTGGTTGAATAATCCCCTCTTTTAAACTGCAAACATGGATTGACATCAACCATTATCTTATTTTATCCTCTTTTAACCCAAAAAACTCCTAAAAACCTGTTAGAAGATAACTGGTTATGTTCGTATTCATGATATCATTCAGACTGGACAAGTATGAAGAGCCTAGACAATACCATGAAAATACTCCATTAATTCTGTGAAACCAATAAATTCTCAAGATACATTATTACAATTAACAAGATTAGCCAATTACAAATAAAGCAACCAAGACATTAATCAGGAAAATCTATTCCTACTGAAACTTGGATCAATACCAGATCATGAATAGAACTAAACCTAAGAAGGTGATCACAATACTCTCCAAGATATATAACAGTATTGATAGACATGCATTGCCAGGAGTTTATAGGCTTTGAATAGTAATGATAGCATTACCACTGCTAAAGTCACATCCGCCTTCTACTAACAAAAAAGTCATTTCCACCTGATTAAGTATTTCCGAGAGCATAAACAAAATGTTCATACAAGATGAGCTGTCATTAGATAGGAAAAGAGATTTACGTGTATTTTCAAAAATTAGTATACACAAAAGTTTACATCAGAGTTCACAAAGTTCCAGAAACACAGTATGACGAACCTGTGAGAGGGCAAATTCTGCAATAGGTTTGACATCCCTAGCTCCTTGGTAATCCACTGGAGGCTTTCCAGGGGCAAACACTTTTATTGTTGGAAATCCCCTGATTCCATACTCCTGAAGAAAGCAATCAGATCTATGAATGAAGAAGATTCAGAAAAGTTCATCAAGCATGTTAGAATATCATCAACTAACATTTAAATGCCCTGTTCTTTTCACCTAGGCGATAGAAGGCACATGTAAGCAATATTATTGATGAGGAAAGAAAATAATTAGACAAGGCCAAGATACCCTCAAAAAAAAGGGAAAAGACCCTAAAAAGGAAAAATTACAAAAAAGAGGTCTCTAAGTCCTATACCAAAGAGAAAATGTGAAACAAGCATCTATGAGTACAACAAACAAAATTCCTGCTAACCACCATATGAAACAAAAAAACTCAAAGTGATTAGAATGCAAGGAAATCCAACTGAACTGATGCAGAAAATGGATTCTCTCTTTTGCCCTGTTAATGACAACAACAAACTCTTGGTAGTTTAGGAACTCATAAAAGATGGCAGCCTATGTCCACAATTAAGCAAATGTCAAATAATTAACTTATTGTGATGATTGCTTTGGCTGGAAATTAAATCCACAATCATAAAATTTCCTCTATAGGATAATTTGTAATTTTTCCATTTAGCAAGCTTGAGATATTTTAAAAATAAATTCCAACATTGAAAAAATTGAAATAAGAAGGCAAGTTAACAAAACAACAAACAATAGGGGAAAAAATAGTAGCTATGCAAACCTGAGCAAGGGACTTGTGTGCATCAGCATCAAGGGCTGCCACAGTAGCAACACCTTTCAATACTGTGGCTGCTTTCTCCCATGTAGGCGTTAGAGCTTGACAATGACCACACCAAGGGGCAAAGAATTCAACTAGAACAACTCCATTTGAGTTCAGAACCTGCCACAATTTGAAACTCTCAATAACAGTAGACTGCTCCGGATCTTGCAGTAACAGTACGGTAATCAACATTTAAATTTCACTCAAGAAATCAAGGACCTATCCAAAAAAATAGGAATGATTTTCACCCTAAACATGCACTTTCATCCTAAAATGGAAAAACATACGAAAATATATGGGAGAAATAGCATAAAACAAGAAAATTTTCTTTGAATATTGGAAACAACAAAATTCCAAATTTCATAAATGTTATTTTTTTTAAATAAAAAATTTCATAAATGTTATAGTCAACTAAGTTTAAACATTAGTTATTAACGTGTGGTATTTGCATTATCCCCGTAAGAAATTTAACACCTTCCACTTAGCGATCGCTCATAACATACACTGAAAAAGTAAATCAGAGGCGTCTTTTTAAATAAGAAGCGTTTTTGGCTTTACATTCATTGCAAAAATAGTAAGTACCTGGTTTCAAATAAATGATTCGCGGATTAAATAAACAGAGTATAAATAACTATTAAAAGAACTCTAAGAAAATCAAAACAGATCTAAATAATTCAAACAAGTTAATTAAAATCAATCCAGATTGTGATCAAAGATTCATGCGCCATTTTGTTATCAAGAAAAGGTAAAGAAGATAAAAATTCACCACGAACATCAATAACACTTTCCGCCAATTTTCCCGAGCTTCTGGACCAAACAAAGAACAGAGTAATAAGCGGAATTTTAAGCAAGTTACCTTGGACTTGAAGTTGGAGGGAGTCAGCTGAACCACTGGCGACGATGGTCCATACAATGCATTGCACAGATTAAAAGCGAAGAAAATTGATTGAATTATTACGAACGGCGACCACGATCTGTGCATTTTCCGGTCACTCTCTCGAGAAGTTTCTGTCTCGTTATGGTTCTCGTTATGAATCTCAGAGCTGAAGCCTGTCGATAAGAGTAGAAAATTAAGCTAATTGCCGCGGAGGGGCTTACGTGTGGTGACCAATAGGAACTTTACACGTCAGCTCAGCTCACTCTCTCTTAACCGGGGTTGTGGATTTTCCCTCCGTTCGCTGGGTTAATGTTATTAAAACTTTTGATGGGCCGTTAGCCAGCCCATTTGAGGTTTTGGCAATTAAAGCAGTTATAAATTAGTTTAATGTGTTTTTTCAAGTACTAAAAGCTATTTTTCTCATCTTCTCGCTTCAATTTTTCTGTTCTAAAAGTATTTTTATAATTAAATAAGTAAAATACTAAAATATATTTTAATAGGTTTTAAATTAAAAATTATAATGTAAATTTATTCATAAACATAAAAAGACAAGAACGTATTAAGAGTATAATTATTCAAATCTTCCAAAGCATTAAAAAAAAAAATTAGATAAAGCCAAAATACTAAAACAATTTTTCTATAACATCCCGAAACCAAGGCTGCAAAGAGGGCGGGTCCTGCTAAAACATTAAAAAGACAAGAACATATGCAATTTGGAAACTATAATTATAAACAACAAAAAGCAATCTTCATAAACAAGCAAGCAAAACCAAACCCATACTACATAATCCATGTGATGCCACCTCTTCTTCAACTCCCCATCTGTCAATATATATACATATGCATAACCATCAACACCGTTATAATCTTAACTTTAAACCCATATAATGATTGAAGTGCATTAAAGCAGAAAAGGATTGTTAATGGAAGGGTTCACCAACTGTTGCAGAAGGTTGAAGAAAATGTTGGTGAGGTCCAGTAGTAGCTGCTGCTCTGATCCACCTGACTCATCAGCCCGGGCTGTTCGATGTGAGGAGCTCCACTTGAAAAAGAAAGGGAAGAGGATTATCAATGTGAGTTCTGATCATGAAGAAGAACAAGATCATTCTATGGCAGCTTATGTTGCAGCCCAGAATCATTTCAGTCACAGGCCAAATATATATATTTAGGGTCTGATTCCATCCATTCCATAATTTTTAGTCTTTTCAAATTGAAGAATGTGAAATTACCAAATGTAGGAGATTATCTTAGGTGGGTAGCTTTGGAAAAGTAGTAATCACATGCCATTATTGAGTTTTTGACAAAGCTACCGTCTGGTTCGCTATCATTTGTAATAGATCTTTATTGACATAAGAATGAGGTTTCACACATTATTGAGTTGCAATACAAAGTAGTAAAAGAAATCTAATCAGAAATCAGAATTAGAACTGAATATATTCAGGTCACCAACTAGAATGAAGAAGAAAGCTTTACACTTTTTTTGTTCCCTTTTCAATCGATACGTAATGTCATTGTAGCCGAAAGAAAGCGATGAGAGGATCATACACATCTTGTTTAGCATTAGCAGCCATAACATAATCTGCATGAGCATAATCTTCTCTGTACTGAATTACAAGCTTATCAGAATCATGATCTTTCAGGCTGTCCAATAACAGCTTCACATCGTTGACATTGGAGAGAGCATCCGCTCCTCCATAGCTAAGAAAGATAGGAAGGTCATTTGGTATACTTGTCATGTCATACACTGGAGGAGTGGGCTGCCCATAGTGTTCCATGTTCTTGTTCTCATTAATGTAGTCATACATTTTAATGGTCCCTTCTCTCATCACTGTCCAAACACAAGTTGTTCAATTTAGTTAATCAGCAAATACGAATACTACTTGAATAAAATTGGTTTAGTAGTATCGATTAACTTTGCAGATTTATGGGTTTGGATTGCTTACTCTGAGCGAGATGGATCATATTCTTGGTTGCAGTTGCCTGGGGCTCATGGTCAAGAAAAGTATTGACAATGGAATCTTTGAGGCAACAGTTCTGGCCTGCAAACAACAACACAACATTCAAATAAGTTGATAGTTAGATGTGTCACTTTTTTTTTTATAAGAAATTATATGTTCGATTTATATTGTATGTTTTTATATGTTCTAATTAAAAGTGTTATGATGGATATATATGTGTCACTTAACTAATAAAATGTACATTATTCTATCAAACAAAAAAAATTAAGTTGATATTTTAAATAAATACAAATTAGGAATGTTGGTTTTATTTACCAGTAAAGGAGGTGAACAAATCAGTGCATTTAGCACCTGGTTTGCCGCAGATATCCTTAAGAAGATTAACAACAGGCTGCCTGTTCAATCAGAAGTTCCCAAAAAAAAAAATTTCTCAATTACAACTAAAATTGGACACCCAAAAAGGAAATCACACAAAGATTTCATATATATTCTTAGAATAATGATTGTTAGTGTAATTTCACAAATCATCTCAATTAGGAAAGGTTATATTCTCCTATATGAGAAGTCTTTTGCAAAATAACTTCAAAACAAAACCTGTAGATTCGACAAACAAAAGAATATAATATTATTGAATATGATATTCTTGTGTATCGAATAAAACATCGTATATGTTCTTACCCTCTGGGATCAAATTCACGAACACCCAATCAGTATAATCCCTGTACAATAAGATGCATTTATATAGATTGTTATAAGTGATAAAATAGAAAAATGATATGGGCAAAAGAAACCAGCACTGACCTCAGCAATGAAGTTATCAGCAGCATTCTTTGCTAGAGGAGAGGACACGTTGCCTACATAGGCAATTGGGCAAAGTAAAGCAGCTGATCTCAACATGCTCACCAGCTGATCCTTGGAAAAGGCAGCCATAGCAATCAAAGTTCCCTATATCATCAATTTTCAATTACTTAGCTTAATAACTTTATTTAGCTTCTTAAATTTCGTAATATTCTTGTTTTTGAGAAAAGATTAATGTGTTTATAGATTATAAAACATAGATAACCCATCATAAAATGATAAGTAGAATTCAATCTGAAATTCCTACACACCAAAAGAAATTAAAGTTAAAAAGAATAGTGAAGAGGTGAGAAGTTCACCAGTGAATGCCCAACATAGTGCAGCTTCTGTCCTGTTTGATCATGCACGTACTGGAATGTGCTAGGAAGATCAAAAGCAACCAGCTCATCCCATGACCAATACCAGTAAGCCTGAAACAACATGTGGAATTAGTAAACATGGTGAAGAAACTGGATTCCCAAAAATAATTTATTCGAGAAGAAACAAACCGGGTCCTTAGGACTGACTGATGTATGCCCAAGACTATACTTAGTCCCACGAGTATTAGCAAGCCAGACGTCAAACCCGTTATCTGCCAAGGCAAATGCCAAAGACTGACTTGGAGGCAATAGCAGCCATGTTATTGCATCCTTCAACCAAACAATTTCAATTCAATTCTCATTTCTTCACTATTCAATTACTAGAACATAAAGGATTACGTATTTAGGATGCTAATCGAATTTACTATCGAAGACAATGAGGTGGATTTGCTTTCTGGAGAAAAACTAACCATTAAAAGGCCATGTTGTAAAAGAACTGGCGGCCTGTTTCCTGCTGTCTTCTCACCAGAATGCCCCACTGGAATTCTCTGCAAGCTAAGAACATAACCATCCTTCGTAGTTACCTGAATAAACCCACCAAGATCCACCAAGAAGAAACTCATTTAAGCAGAGTAACATATACGATTTGGAACTTGAAAAAAACAAGAATAAATAAAAAGAAAAAAAAAACATAATTCACAAAAGCAAACCTTATGTTCTTCACAGATATAGTTTTGTGTCTGAACCATTGATTTGCAAATCCCACCATCATCACCAGCTGTTGAAACTAATGCAGCCTCACCAGCCTGAACCTGGACTTTCTCTGAAAACAAACTTGTTCTACCTCCAAAAGCAGACCCACAAAACAGAGCCAACATAATTATTGGTGCTGCTAAACCATCGGCCATTTTGTTGTTACCCTGTGATTTCCTGCTCCAACAATCGTCAATCCACTGCCAGTGATATATGTACACATAACAGTACTAGATTTTAGATTTCCATATAAAAAGACAAACTGAACATTCGCATGGGAGAAAAAATAGTTCAAAGAAACATCCTCTCTTAGCAGTTTGCTCTATTGATATTCAAATGTATCTTCTGGGTCGTTTTCTTCCTATTTAAAAATGTTGAATCAAGCTCAAAAAATACAAAAGAATTTATGCAAAGCCCAAGATTAACGATGTGATAAAAACCCCACGCATACAAAATTAGCATCAAAAACTTAAATTCTAAATAAATATTTTTCAGTTAATTTGCTATCAATAAAATGATAGTAAATATAATAATTAAAAAATTAAAAGAATTGAAAGAAACAAGAAAAATACATTGATAAGTTAATTCCCTTTCTTTCTCAACAATAAGATTAAAGGTACCTTACTAATTGAAAATAAACTTTGTAAGTTTATTGACTTAAACTTGAATTCATATAACTATGAATGTAATATCTATTTATAGTTGTAAGTAATATTAATAATATGGAAAATACTCTCCTAACTAATAGTAAAAATTATATGAGAAATTAAAATAACTACAACTAAAATAAGATAAATATGATTTTCCTTTGTAGAAATATTTTCAAATAAGAAAATTTTAATTAATTATGAAAGATTTAGGAAAAAAAAAATTGTTAAGATATTTTCCTCTCTCAGTGTTTTTTTTTTTTTCTGTAGGATTTAACATTTAAGTATTTTTTTTTTCTCAAAATAGTTTGCAGTTTATGAGAAATTTTCCCCCATGGCTGATTCTCCCTCTTAAGGGGAAAGAGTTCCCGCAGGATTATAAAAGAAAATCCTGTGGGAATTTTCCCTTTTCACTTGGAGAATTTTTCCCTTGTGGGAAAATTCCTTTTCCCTTTTCTTGCTTATTTCCCACTTCCAATTGGTGATTGAGAATGGTGATTTAACCCATGTGATAAGTCTATAAAGCGAAAACATGTGCCTAATATTAGAACAAGTTTGGGGCAGTTAGTGCGTGTCCTTTACTTGAGCGACAAACAGATACTTTATGTATAGCAGGACCGTCCTTGAGAATATCTTCAGACGGTATATAACTCCGCCATCAGACAATCTTTGCCTGGTTAATGGTCTTCTAAGGAACCGGAGCGGCCACCCTTTCAGGTTTTATTCGACCCACCATTTTCATCTGCTCCCTTCTGGACTTCCTGTGTGCGTACCGTGTGCCACCTCTCCAACCCAAGCCGTTAACTGCAGTCAAGTGAAAGGAATGAATCAACATTAATGTATATATGCTGCTTTTGTGGTGCATTCAGATATTATATTAAATCGGGAGAAGATGCTAATTGTATCAAGTTAATAATATATTGAGTGCCTATAATTTTTCACCTATGAGAAAAGATGGGTAATCATATCTCGAAAGTTGGTTCCCAATTAATGTGAAATGTTCTATATTTGATTGGCGAGTGAGCCAACTCTACTCGTAAAATCAAATTTTGCAGTGATGGATCCATATTTTTACTTTGTTGGGTAGGAACAAAACCAACATAGCTCGATTGAACTTTGCAAAACACTATATTCAGTTTTATTCTATAGAACTAGCATCTGAAACCATAACCAGACTAATAGCATTCATCAAAGCAACCCACCAACTTCCACATGCATAAGATTGTTATAAGGGTTTGCTGTTTTATACCACGTGTTTTCCTATATATTTTATATGTGAATTTTTAAGAAACGAAAAACTATCAAGTAACTTCGCTACCCAAATGGAGGCTTCGCTTTCTTAACAAACCAACAACAGTATCACATGCTCATAGAACCCCTTCCCAATGGCTCAATATATGCAGGAGATAGATTGAGAATAATATGCATTATTGCCTTTTATCGTAAGTTCAAAATCCCCAATTATTTTCCACATAATTCATACAGCTAAGCTGCATTTCATATAGTTCTTTTTCAGTCTCAATACCATCCTTCTTTATATCAAAAGTATAAGAGTAACACTGCCAAAAAAACCAAAACTTAGATATTATATTTTTAATTTCTCAATTATCTGTTTTGTTGAATGTTTCTCTTTATGAGAGTGTAGAGTCTGAGTTGTATCTTTTGTTAGGAATTTGGGATACTATTAATTGTAATTGTTATTGGTGTGCTGATGCTACTTAAATCATTGAAATACATAAATTTCTATTGAAATATATATTTATAACTTTGATTCAAAAATATTAATTTGTTTCATTTGTGTTTGTACATATCTATAAAGCAACAATTATAAAAAGATATAATTTGAATTAAAGATAGAATAGATTTTAAATTATGATTTTATTTGCATTCAAATTATATATTTATGTTGAATTTTCTTTTTTATTTTGTAAAATTGAAATTTCAATCAAAGATAAATGCTTAAGTAGGGAAACTGTGATTATTTACATGTTTGTTTTTGGAGGGTAATAAGAACTGAGATTCTTCAAATCCTTCAAAGCATAAAAAAAAAAATTAGATAAAACCAAAATATTAAAACAAACTTTCTGTAACATCCGGAAACCAAGGCTGCAAAAAGGGGGGGTCCTGCTATAACATCAAAAAGACAAGAACATGTACAACAAAAAACAAGCAAAACCCATACCACTTTATACATAATCCATGTGATGCCACCTCTTCTTCAACTCCCCATCTGTCAATATATATACATATATGTAACCACCAACACCATTATAATCTTATCATTAAACCCAGATAAAAATTAAAGGGCAGTAGAGCAGAGAAGCATTGATAATGGAGGGTTTCACCAACTATTGCAGAAAGTTGAAGAAAATGTTGGTGAGGTCCAGTAGCAGCTGCTGCTCTGATCCACCTGACTCATCAGCCCAGGTGGTTCGATGTGAGGAGCTCTACTTGAAAAATAAAGGGAAGAGGATGATCAATTTGAGGTGCGATCATGAAGGAGAACAAGATTATTCAATGGCAGCTTATCTTGCAGCCCAGAATCATTTCAGTCACAGGCCAAATATATACATTTAGGGTCTGATTCCATCCATTGTCTTTTCAAATTGAAGAATATGAAATTGCCAAATGTAGCAGATTATCTTAGGTGGGTACCTCTGCTATCATTTTATCGACAAAGCCACAATATGCTTTGCTATCATTTGTAATACATCTTTTTTTACATAAAAACGAGATTTCACAGAAACTATTGGATTACAAAACAAAGTAGCAGAAGAAATTTGATAAGAAATCAGAATTAGAACTGAATATATACAGGTCACGACAACTAGAATAAAGAAGAAAGTTTTGCACTCTTTCAATTTTCTTTTCAATCGATATATAATGTCATTGCAGCCGAAAGAAAGCAATGAGAGGATCATATACATCTTGTTTAGCATTAGCAGCCATAACATAATCTGCATGAGCATAATCTTCTCGATACTGAATTACAAGCTTATCAGAATCATGATCTTTCAGGCTGTCCAATAACAGCTTCACATCGTTGACATCGGAGAGAGCATCTGCTCCTCCATAGCTAAGGAAGATAGGAAGGTCATTTGGTATACTTGTCATGTCATACACTGGAGGAGTGGACTGCCCATAGTGTTCCATGTTCTTGTTCTCATCATTGTAGTCATACATTTTAATGGTCCCTTCTCTCATCACTGTCCAAACACAAGTTGTTCAATTTAGTTAATCAGCAAATACGAACACTAATAGTGCAAAATTGGTTTAGCAGTATCGATTGTCATTGCAGATTTATGGGTTTGGATTGCTTACTCTGAGCGAGATGGATCATATTCTTGGTTGCAGTTGCCTGGGGCTCATGATCTAGAAAAGTATTGACGATAGAATTGTTGAGGCAACAGTTCTGGCCTTCAAACAATAACACAGCAATCAAATAAGTAATATACTAATAAGTATTCGGCTTGAGAATTGGTATGTTACTTCCTCTAAAGAAGTTATGGATTTTAGTTGAACTTTGGATTCCTGTATGTTCTTGATAGGAAGTGTTATGATGGGTATGTAAGTATCACCTAATTAATAAAGTGTATATACTTCTGCCTAAAAAAAATGAAGTTGATGTTTTAAACAAATACAGGAATGTTTGTTTTACTTACCAGTGATGGAGGTCAACAGATCAGTGCATTTAACAGCTGGTATGCTGCACATATCCTTAAGAAGATTAACAACAGGCTGCCTGTTCAATTAGAAGTTCCCAGAAAAAAGATTCCCAATTACAATTAAAAATGGATAACCGAAAAGGAAATCACGGGCTATTAAAAAAATTTTTAACAACAAATTCAAAACAAGACCCGCAGGTTGAAATTATATTGGCCAAATAGATTTGATAAACAAAAGGATACAATACTATTGAAATTGATATTCTTGTGTATCGAATAAAACATTTTATTTGTTCTTACTCTCTGGGATCAAATTCACGAACACCCGACCGGCATAATCCCTGTACAATAAGATGCATACTATAGATTTTTATTAAGTTATAAAATAGAAAAATGATATGGGCAAAAGAAACCAGCACTGACCTCAGCAATGAAGTTATCAGCAGCATTCTTTGCTAGAGGGGAGGTCACATTGCCTACATAGGCAATTGGGCAAAGTAAAGCAGCTGATCTCAACATGCTCACTAGCTGATCCTTGGAAAAGGCAGCCAGAGCAATCAAAGTTCCCTATATCATCATTTTTCAATGACTTAGCTTAACATAATCAGCTACACAGACTTCTAACTTTATTTAGCTTGTTAAATTTCTCAATTTTCTTGTTTTCGAGAAAAGTAGATTACACAACAAGAAATAACCCACCATCAAACGATAAGTAGGATTCAATCCGAAATTCTTATACACTTAAAAAGAAAGTGAAGAAGCAGAATAATCTGAGTTCACCAGTGAATGCCCAACATAGTGCAGCTTCTGTCCTGTTTGATCATGCACATACTGGAATGTGCTAGGAAGATCGTAAGCAACCAGCTCATCCCATGACCAATCCCAGAAAGCCTAAAACATGTGGAATTAGTAAACATGGCGAAGAACTGCCTAAAACAACATGTGGAATTAGTAAACATGGTGAAGAATTTGGATCTCAAAAATAATTTATTTCAAGAAGAAACAAACCGGGTCCTCAGGAGTGAGGGATGTATGCCTGAGGCTATACTTAGTCCCACGAGTATTGGCAAGCCAGACATCAAACCCTTTATCTGCCAAGGCAAATGCCAAAGACTTGTTTGGAGGCAATAGCAGCCATGTTATTGCATCCTTCAACCAAACAGTTTCATTTCAATTGTCATTTTTTCACTGTTTTATTACTAGAAAATAAAGGATTACATATTAAGTATACTGATCAAACTTTACTGTCGAAGACAATGAGGAGGATTTGCTTTCTGGAGAAATACTAACCATTAAAAGGCCATGTTGTAAAAGAACTGGTGGTCTGTTTCCTGCTGTCTTCTCACCAGACTGCCCCACTGGAATTCTCTGCAAGCTAAGAACATAACCATCCTGTGTAGTTACCTGAATAAACCCATCAAGATCCACCAAGAAGAAACTCATTTAACCGAGTAAAATATAGGACTAGGAACTCGAAAAACAAGAAGAAACAAGGATAAAAAAACACAGTTAATAAAATCAAACCTTATGTTCTTCACAGATATAGTTTTGTGTTTTAACCATTGATTTGCAAATCCCACCATCATCACCAGCTGTTGAAACTAATGCAGCCTCACCAGCCTGAACCTGGACTTTCTCTAAAGACAAACTTTTTTGACCTCCAAAAGCTGACCCACAAAACAGAGCCAGCATAATTATTGGTGCTGCTAAACCATGGGCCATTTTGTTATTACCCTGTGATTTCCTGCTCCGACAACCCTCAATCCACTGCCAGTTATATGTATGTATATATATATGTACATATAACTGTACTAGATTTTAGAATTCCATACAAAAAGACAAACTGAGCATTCGCCTGAGAGAAAAAAAAAAAAGGTTCAGAGAACATCCTCTCTTAGCAGCTTGCTCAATTGATTATTCAAATCTATCTTGTACGTCCTTTTCTTCCTATTTAAAAATCTAGAATGAAGCTCAACAACTATGAAAAGGAATGATTTTAGCATTCATCAACTTGTTGCCATGATTACATATTAGAACAAGAAATTCCCACCTTGCTTGGTGATTGAGAATGATGATTTAGCCAATGTGATATGTATATAAAGCCAAAATATTTGCCTAATATAAGAACATTTTTGTGGCAATTAATGCTTGTTTTTTACTTGAGGGACAAACAGATACTTATGAAGAAATGTATCTAAGAAGTTGTGTCCCTTATTTTTGCCAAAAAAAATTGTTTCTTAAATAGATAATATATCGGGCAATCCTGGACGCACTCAAATTGATGTGGAGAAATAGCCTTAGAATTGCCTTACGAAAAGTTCAGTCTTTAGGCAAAAGCTTATAGAGCTTGTGATCAATGGTTAGAAATTGACCTGATCATTCAACAATCAACGTAAATTGGCCATATAAATTCCACTGATGAATTCTTTTCATCTCATAACAGAACATTAATATGGTCAATTAGCCAACAATATGCAGGTCAATACATTTTATACAAGTGTTTTCTTGGCGGCTTCTTCTGCTACCTTGCTATACCTTGAAATAGATTTCAAGCCTGTTGTAATGAATCCTGAATAAATTTCTACTTGTCATCTCAATTCTTTAGCCTTCAATTTTTTATTCTCTATCCAGAAAAAAATGGAGTAACAAAACTGATGGGTTTTCCCAGGATTATGTATAGCAGGACCATCCTTGAGAATATTTTCAGAGGGCATAACACGGCCATCAGACAATCTTTGTCTGGTTAATGGTCTTCTGAGGAACCGGAGCGGCCACCCTTTAGGTTTTATTCGACCCAGAAACTGCCACCTTTTGGGTTTTAGTTGCCCAAGCATTTTCATCTGCTCCCTTTTGAACTTCCTGTTTGTGTACCATGTGCCACCTCTCCAACCCAAGCCGTAACTACAGTTGAGCGAAAGGAATAAATCAACATAAACATATATTCGCTGCTTCAGTGGTGCATCCAGATATTATATGAAATCGGGAGAAGATGCTAATTGTATCAAGAATAGCAAACTCTCAAATTCTAAAGCCAAGTTAATAATATATTGAGTGCCTATAACTTTTCACCTATGAGAAAAGATGTAATCATATCTCATAAATTAGTTCCCAATTCATTTGAAATGTTCATTTTTTTTTTAAATCAATGCTGACCCTAAAAGTTTGGTCCATTCTATCAAGCATTTCCACCAAAACTAAAAGAAAGCTCCCAAAAGAATATGAATTTAAAGCTCAGAGTAAGAAAACAAGGAAATTTCAACATCTGAGAACAGACCCAGTAACTTAAGTGGTTCCAGCAGTGGCAACCCAAGCAGCAGTATTGGAACTTCCTGGATCAACAAGCTTTTTGATCTCTGCATGTCCGAGATGATAATTATTGTTCATCTGCCAGAAAATAAGAGAAGTAAATTGGAATATGACATAGCAACACTAAAGCTATACTGGAAAGAAATTCCACTAAAATGTGGGAATTCGTTTACCCATATTCTAAACAAAAAACTGAATTTGCAAATAAAATTCTACATTTTTTTAGGTGAAATTCTTTGGTAGTAATACAGGTTAAAGATAAAGAAAATAAAGAGAATTAATTTTTGATATTTTTATTTTATTTTTTGACTCAGTTATTTGATCGTTATAAATTTTTTCATAGTTTTTATATTTTATTTTCGGATCAAAAAAATAATTATATATTTGATTCATTCTACTCTTGAAAATCAAATTTTGTAGTGACTGATTTATATTTTTACTTGGCTGAGTTATATTTCAAAAAAAAAAAAAAAATTACTTGGTTGGGTAGGAACAAAACCAACATAGCTCTATTGAACTTTGCAAAATAGTATATTCATTTTTGTTATATTCCTATCTCCATTCTATAGAATTAGAATCTGAAACCGTAACTAGACTAAAAGCATTCATCGAATATCACTAGCAACCCACCAGGTTCCAACTTGCACCTAATAAGATTAGAAAAGAAAAATTATAAAACCTAAAAGAATTATTTGGTCTACATAAAATTCCACAATCATAGATTGTTATAAGGGCTTGCTGTTTTAACATTTTAACAGTACCACTACCAAATCAAGGCAAGAGCACCAGGTAGCTAAATACAACTACAGCCAACTTACTCGGCAATAAAGTGATAAAAAAAACAAAAGAAGAAAAGAAAGAAATAAGTAAATAAAAGAAAACTTTTTCTTTAAGGGGGAGATCTTCAAAAGTATATAATTGGCAATAAATAACATGTATCAACCACGCATTTAGTAGAAGCTGCGGTGACATTGTTAGCAAAGTGCACAAACCACTGAGCAACAAAAACCTGTAACATCAAAAAGACAAGAACATATACAATTTGGAAACTATAATTATAAACAACAAAAAGCAATCTTCATAAACAAGCAAGCAAAATCCATACTACCTTATATATTCTCCATGTGATGCCACCTCTTCTTCAACTCCCCATCTGTCAATATATATACATGTACGTAACCACCAACACCATTATAATCTTATCATTAAACCCATATAAAAATTAAAGGGCATTAGAGCAGAGAAGCATTGATAATGGAGGGCTTCACCAGCTGTTGCAGAAGGTTGAAGAAAATGTTGGTGAGGTCCAGTAGCAGCTGCTGCTTTGATCCAGCTGACTCATCAGCCCAGTCGACCGGCCGGGCGGTTCGATGTGGGGAGCTTTACTTGAAAAAGAAAGGGAAGAGGATGGTCAATTTGAGTTGTGATAATGAAGAAGAACAAGATCATTCTATGGCAGCTTATGTTGCAGCCCAGAATCATTTCAGTCACAGGCCAAATATATACATTTAGGGTCTGATTCCATCCACTCTCATAATTTAGTGTCCTTTCAAATTGAAGAATGTGAAATTGCCAAATGTAACAGATTGTCTTAGGTGGGTAGCCTTGGAAAAGTAGTAATCGTATGCCATTGTTGAGTTTTCTTGGTGCTCCAAATATCATAACCTGCTGCAGAGAGGTGCATTTTAAATCATGTGATTTTAGCATATGAAGCATGATTAACTTACCAAAAAAGCCCTGTAATTCGTGTTCAAGATTAACCAGGTCTTTGGCACTAGATATTTGGAAAGTGGATTTCAACCTTGGGAATCAAGGATAAAGCAAGAAATAGGTAAATAATATGCGGGGTAAAAGGGTAAAGTTGATACAAGGGTAGTTTTGTCTTTTCACTTATAAGATATTAGGGTTAGGGTTAGGATAATGGAGAAACAAAAAAAATGAGAAGAAGATCGGCACCATCATTCGGCACGTTCAGGCGGTTACAACCTGCTACCTTTATAGCTTTTATATATATATATATATGTATCCCAGGAAAAGAAATCATCCAAAATTTTATTGAAGGCAGAGTACTTTTTCTCTCAGATCCCGCCAGAGTCAGCTTTCTCTCTCGCTCTCTCTGCTTTCTCTCTTTCTTCCTATTTCTTCCAATTCCTTTCATTTATCAAGCTCATGACATTCTCATCCTAATTCACATGCCATTTCCATGCCTCAACTGCTTTTAAATTCTACTTTCCTCACATTGAAACATAAAGACAAGGCCTCGTATGAAAGTAACAAATTGTTTTATCCCAGTGTCATCTGGTAACGAGAAGAGCCCAAATTTCAACAAAGCTACCACGTGCTTCGCTATAATTTGTAATACATCTTTATTGACATAAGAACGAGATTTCATACAGACTATTGAATTGCAAAACAAAGTAGCAGAAAAAAATTTGATCAGAAATCAGAATTTAGAATTGAATATATAAACAGGTCACCAACAACTAGAATGAAGAAGAAAGTTTTGCACTGTTTTCTTTTCAATCGATTTATGATGTCATTGTAGCCGAAAGAAAACGATGAGAGGATCATATACATCTTGTTTAGCATTAGCAGCCATAACATAATCTGCATGGGCATAATCTTCTCTGTACTGAAATACAATCTTGTCAGAATCATGATCTTTCAGGCTGTCCAATAACAGCTTCACATCGTTGACATCGGAGAGAGCATCTGCTCCTCCATAGCTGAGGAAGATGGGAAGGTCATTTGGTATACTTGTCATGTTATACACTGGAGGAGTAGGCTGCCCGTAGTGTTCCATGTTCTTGTTCTCATCGTTGTAGTCATACATTTTAACGGTCCCTTCTCTCATCACTGTCCAAACACAAGTTGTTCAATTTAGTTAATCAGCAAATACTAATACTAATTGCGTAAAATTGGTTTAGCAGTATCCATTAACATTGCAGATTTAGGGGTTTGGATTGCTTACTCTGAGCAAGATGGATCATATTCTTGGTTGCAGTTGCCTGGGGCTCATGGTCTAGAAAAGTATTGACAATGGAATTGTTGAGGCAACAGTTCTGGCCTGCAAACAATAACATTCAAATAAATATGTACCAGTAAGTATTTGGCTTGACAGTTAGTACGTCATTCTTTTTATATGAAGTTATGGGCTCGAGTTAGACTCTGAATTTTTATACATTCTCAATAAAAAGTTGTATTATAATGAGTATTTATGTGTCACCTAACCAATGAAATGTATATATTTCAACTAAAAAAAATAAAGTTGATGTTTTAAACATGTAAAAATTAAGGAATGTTTGGTTTTACTTACCAGTAAAGGAGGTCAGCAGATCAGTGCATTTAACACCTGGTTTGCTGCAGATATCCTTAAGAAGATCAACAACAGGCTGCCTGTTCAATTAGACGTTCCCAAAAAAAAAAATCTTGATTAGAACTAAGATCAGATACCCGAAAAGGAAATCATGGGAAGTTTTCATATATATATCTTTAGAATAATTATTGTTAGTGTAATTTTACATATCATCTCAATTATTTGGAAAGGTTATAATCTCCTATATTATAAGTCTTTTACAAAATAAATTGAAAACAAGACTTACAGTTTGTAATTATATTGGCCAAATAGATTCGATAAACAAACGGATATAATATTATTGAATATGATATTACGTGTATCGAATAAAACATCATATTTGTTCTCACCCTCTGGGATCAAATTCATGAAGACCCAACCAGTATAATCCCTGTACAATAAGATACATATATATAGATTGTTATAAGTGATAAAATATAGAAAAATGATATGGGCAAAAGAAATCAGCCTGACCTCGGCAATGAAGTTATCAGCAGCATTTTTTGCTAAAGGAGAGGTCACATTGCCTACATAGGCAATTGGGCAAAGTAAAGCAGCTGATCTCAACATGCTCACCAGCTGATCCTTGGAAAAGGCAGCCAGAGCAATCAAAGTTCCCTATATCAAGAAAAGATTAATGCGTTTATAGATTACAAAACAAGAAGAAATTAAAGTTAAAAAGAATAGTGAAGAGGTGAGAAGTTCACCAGTGAATGCCCAACATAGTGCAGCTTCTGTCCTGTTTGATCATGCACATACTGGAATGTGCTAGGAAGATCATAAGCAACCAACTCATCCCATGACCAATACCAGTATGCCTAAAACAACATGTGGAATGAGTAAATATGGTGAAGAAATTGGATTCCCAAAAATAATTTACTCGAGAAGAAACAAACCGGGTCCTGAGGAGTGAGTGATGTATGCCCACGGCTATACTTAGTCCCACGAGTATTAGCAAGCCAGACATCGAATCCGTTATCTGCCAAGGCAAATGCCAAAGACTGGTTTGGAGGCAATAGCAGCCATGTTATTGCATCCTTCAACCAAACAGCTTCATTTCAGTTCTCATTTCTTCATTGTTTGATTACTAGAACATAAAGGATTACGTATTTACTAATCACATTTTACTGTCGAAAACAATGAGGAGGATTTGCTTTCTGGAGAAATGCTAACCATTAAAAGGCCATGTTGTAAAAGAACTGGTGGCCTGTTTCCTGCTGGCTTCTCACCAGACTGCCCCACTGGAATTCTCTGTAAGCTAAGAACATAACCATCCTGTGTGGTCACCTGAATAAACCCATCAAGATCCACCAAGAAGAAACTCATTTAACTGAGTAAAATATACGATTTGGAACTCAAAAAAACCAAGAAGAAATAAAAAGAAGATAAGAAACATAATTAACAAAACCAAACCTTATGTTCTTCACAGATATAGTTTTGTGTTTGAACCATTGATTTGCAAATCCCACCATCATCACCAGCTGTTGAAACTAATGCAGCCTCACCAGCCTGAACCTGGACTTTCTCTGAAAACAAATTTGTTCTAACTCCAAAAGCTGACCCACAAAACAGAGCCAACATAATTATTGGTGCTGCTAAACCATGGGCCATTTTGTTGTTACCTTGTGATTTCCTGCTCCAACAACCCTACTGCCAGTTTTATATATATATATACATATATATATATATACACACACTGGATTTCAGAATTTCATATAAAAAGACAAACAGAGCATTCACATGAGAGAAAAAAAAAAGTTCAAAAAAAAGGTCAATGAACATCCTCTCTTAGCAGCTTGCTCTATTGATAGTCAAATCTATCTTGTGGGTCCTTTTCTTCCTATTTAAAAATCTAGAATCAAGCTGAATAACTATAAAAAGGAACGATTTTAGCATTCATGATCTTGTTGCCACGATTATAGATTAGAACAAGAAATTCCCACCTTGATTGGTGACTGAGAATGGTGATTTAGCCAATGTGGTTTGTATATAAAGCCAAAACATGTACCTACGATTAGAACGTTTTTGTAACAGTTAATATTTGTCCTTAACTTGAGGGACAAACAGACACTTACATAGAAACGTGTAAAAGAGTCATTGGGCTTCTGTTCTATTCTGTTCATGGACGGTAAGGAAGGCGCAGGTTTGAATGAAATCCAGTCTTAAAATTTGATTCTTAAATATATCAATATATTGGATAATCCTGAAACCCATGAAATTGATGTTAAGAAATATTGTCTTAAAATTGCCTTACGAAAAATTTAGTCTTTAGGCAGAAGCTTATAGAGCTTGTGATCAATGGTTAGAAAGCTCTTCAGAATCATCAATCACGGCCTTGTACGATGGTAACTGGGGCCCAAATGCAGTCCTACCGCGTTGACTTTTGCCCGTTAACAAGTGCTCTCTATAGTTTCCAATAGCTAACCACATAAATTGGCCATATGAATTCTACTAATGAATTCTTTTCATCTTATAACAAAACATTAATATGGTCAATTAGCCAAAAATGTGCAGGTTGATACATTTTATACAAATATTTTCTTTGCAGCTTCTTCCGCTACCTTTATATATGCTGAAATAGATTTCAAGCCTATTGTAATGAATCCTGAATAATTCTATTTGTCATCTCAATTCTTTAGCCTTCAATATTTTATTTTGCATCCAGAAAAAAATAGACTAACAAGACTGGTGGGTTCTCCCAGGATTATGTATAGCAGGACCGTCCTTGAGAATATTTTCTGAGGGTATAACTCCGCCACCAGATAATCTTTGCCTGGTTAATGGTCTTCTAAGGAACCTGATCGGCCACCCTTTAGGTTTATTCGACCCAGCAACTGCCACCTTTCAGGTTTTAGTTGCCCGAGCATCTTCATCTGCTCCCTTTTGAACTGCCTGTTTGCGTACCATGTGCCACCTCTCCAACCCAAGCCATAACTACAGTTGAGTAAAAGGAATGAATCAATATTAATGTATATATGCTGTTTTTGTGGTGCATTCAGATATTACATGAAATCGGGAGAAGATGCTAATTGTATCAAGAATAGCAAACTCTAAAAGTCTAAAGCCAAGTTATTAATATACTGAGAAAAGATGGGTAATCATATCTTGGAAGTTAGTTTCCAATTCATGTGAAATGTTCATTGTTTTTGAAATCAATGCTGACCCAAAAAATTTGGTCCATTCTATCTAGCATTTCCATCAAAACCAGAAGGAATTCCCGGAAGAATATGAATCTAAAGCTCAAAGTAAGGCAACGAAAACTAGAAAAATTCAACATCTCAGAACAAACCCAATAACTAAAGTGGTTCCAGCAGTGGCAACCCAAGCAGCAGTACTGGAACTTCCTGGATCAACAATCTTTTTTATCTCTGTATGTCCAAGATGATAATTATTGTTCATCTGCCAGAAAATAAGAGAAGTAGATTGGAATATGACATAGCAAAACTAAAACTATACTTGAAACAAATTCCACTAAAAGGTGGGAATTCATTTATCCATATGCTAAACAAAAAAGTGAATTTGCAAATAACTTCTATGCTTTCTTGGTGAAATTCTTTTGTTCCAAATACAGGTAAAGAAAAAGAAAAAAAAAGAGAACCAATTTAATATTCTCCTTTTATTTCTTCACTCAAATATTTGTAGGTATAATTTCATCATAATTTCTATATTTGATTCTCAGATCAAAAGAAAAAATTTCTATATATTCCTATCCCTATTCTGTAGAATTAGCATCTGAAACCATAAATAGACTAATACCATTCATCAAATATCACTAGCAACCCACTTAGTTCCAACTTGCACCTAATAAGACTAAAAAAGGAAAATTAAAAAACGTAAAAGGATTATTTGGTCTACATAAAATTCCACAAGCATACATTGCTATAAGGGCTTGCTGTTTTTAACATTTTAACAGTCCCACTACCAGATCAAGGCAAGAGCACAAGGTAGCTAAATAAAGCGGAAAAAAAATGAAAACCTTTTCTTTAGCGGGAGACTTTCAAATATATATATAATTGGCAATAAATAACATGTATCAACCATGCATTTATCAGAAGCTGCCGTGACATTGTTAGCAAAGTACACAAACCACTGAGCAACAGAAACCTAATAGTATGCAGCAATTACTCACAGCTTTCTCAATAGATTCAAGCCTCTGGTCAACTTTTGATTCATGATAATGCCGTATTGAATAACCTGCATGATAATTTGTCTTTCTAGTTAACAATTCCATCCAAAAACTTCTTTCAAGTTTTCAATATCTACATGCTCAAATCTAACATTTTCAACACAAGACAAAGACAAGTAAACACGCTCAACAAAGATGCTGTCACATTGTGAGATAATCATATACCCGCTTTTCCTTGTTTTTGCAATGAATTATATTGCACACTATAGTTCAAGGAAAACTGCAGAGGACCTAAACAAGCATCTTCCCTAGTTTTGATTAAAAAGTTATGTTGCATACAGAATGTTGCATGATTTCTCCATTTGGGACACAAAAACATTTTCTAGTTTTTTATTTCCTAGTTTCACATATGTTTGCACATTAAAATAAGTAGGGTGGCACATGCATGTTGACATTCAATTATAACTAAAAACAATTTTCAAGAAGATATTAAAAATATTTTCTTATTTTCTTTAAACTTATTCCAAATTTCCATTATGAGTTTCCAAAAAATATTTTTATTTTTAACTACCACTCATGTTTTCACATATAAATACATGTGAATGTTTAAGAAATGAAAAAACCATCAAGTATCTACATAACCCAAATGAAGCCTCAGCTCTCAACCTATCTTAACAAACCAACAACCATATCAAATGCTCATAGAACTCCTTCAAAATCATTCAATTTACGCAGGAGATAGAATGAGAATAATAGGCATTATTGCCACTCAAAATGCAAGAGCTACTTTCCACTAATGAAAACAGGTTGCTTTTTACCATAAGTTCAAAATCCTCAATTATTTTTCACATAATTCATAATTAGTTAAAGCTGCATTTGATATAGTTCTTTTTCAGTTTCAATAGCATCCTTCTGTATATCAAAGTATAAGAGCAACAACACCAAAAGACTAAACCTCAGATCAGATTCTGTAGGTTGTGCACTAAAATCCACTCGACAACTTCCATTGTTTGTCTATATAAACCGATGTAATCTTGCACATTTTTATAAAATATACTAATCTAACAAACTTTTAAATAATTGATTAAACCAATTATTTCAAAAACTTAAAGTGAAATGAAAAGGCCCAATTTTTATTAGTTATATATTAACCAATCACACTTAACACATGAAATCAAATTAAAAAAGCCGTGAAGGCCTGAAAGTGAGCATGTAAGCCAAGTAGAGATTGACAGACTTTTTACTATTTGAAACCCAGTAGCCAGCAAAAGAATTGATGAACAAATAATGGAAAGGAACAAGATCCTCAAGGTTAAGCCCAAGCATATAGTTCTGTATGGTATCTTAAATAATAAATTTTACCCGGACTACCATGAAAGTTTACGACATAATCTATTACTTGCATGTTAATACAAAATATTATCGTATTTCTTGCTTGTTTTATTTCTTGTTATCAGACAAGGATAAGCTGCATTTGAACCAAAACATGCATTTCAACCATTATTATTACCATAATGCCAGTCATCCAGTCAAGTTTACAGATATAGGCATCTCTTCTACTCAACTTTAATTGCAAAAGAGTCTGAATGTTAGCAAAAGTAACACAAGTCATTGGGAACATATATAACTTCAGTAAGGTAGAACAACTCTGGAAATTCACAACATAAAATGGAGACTTGGGTATCATAAGCATAAATTGAATAAAACCCACCTGCCCATGCTGTTATAACAGATGCTATAGAAGTTGCTACTGTAAACACCACTCTATGCCTCTCAAATATGTCCTATAACCATCAAGATCAAACGTAAGACAGCCATGAAAGAAAACCCAAAAAGGCATATGAGATAACTGAACACTCACCCGAACAGTCTCATTAACTTATGGTACAATGAGCAATTTCAAACCAAAGGAATAAACCCATTCTTAGAGCAACCGTTATTGAAAATTAACTGATACAAATAAAAAAAAAAAAAAAAACTGGACTGAAAGCAGAAGGCGAACGGAGAATTAGAAAAAGGATGTACCTTGGTTGAGAAGTAGGTATCTTGAACAGCAACCCATGAATTAAGGGCTTTTTTCTTTAACTGACGCCCTGACAATGAACCCAGAAGCGAGGTGCTTCCGCTTCTCAGACGCTGCATCTTGTGGTCCAACTGAAAACCCGGTTGATTGGACTCAGACGAGTCGTCGAGTTTCCTGCTGGGTCCCCAAAGGTTTTCTCGCGAACTAACCAGGAAGTTTCTGCGACGGAAAAGGTTCCGGTCAGGGTTCAGAAATCACCCGAGGTTTTCTTCACTAATTAAGTTTAAAAGTTAAATAAAAATCAGAAAAATATAAGATAATAATTTTAAAATTGATGAATGTAAACATAAAATAATATTAAATAAATTGGAATAAGTGAATTAAAAATAATAATAATAAAGAAGAGGGTAGGGTTTTTTGGCCCACGAGAAATAATAGTTGGGTTAAAAGCAAAAGTTGACACCAAGCACGAGGCTTTCTTCAATTGATTAGACAGTTTTATAGATGTGGTAACACATCAGGCCCAAATTAATTATTAAAAAAGAAAAAAAGGTACAAAAGGTTGAGTTATTATTTTAAATTTTAAATTATTTACCACGTTACAATTATTAATCTCTTTAATTACAGATTAATTTTATAATTATTTCAGTTTGTGATTCTTTTTCATAAAACTTTAATTTTTAACAGAATTTAACATTTTTTTTTTACTCGTATTTAAAAATTATAATAATTGATAATTTGATTTTAATAAAAATATGTTTAAACATGTTTATGATAGTAATAAACATTAAAAAATATCGCTTTTTTATTTTTTTAAATTCCTAAGCTAACTATTGATATTAAATATTTTAAAGTTTTTTTTTTTTTTTGTGAATTGAAATAAAATATAAATAATTTAACTATTTCAAAAAATTTCTACTAAAATTTACTAAATTAAAATATATTTATAAATTTAACGAGTATTAATAGTTAAAAGAGTCAAATTTATTTAAATTAAATATGATTAAAGTTTTAGTTAAAATAATAACAATTATGTTAAACAGTACATTTTAATCACTTAAAATTTTAAAGGTACTTATTTTACCAGAATCATTTAGTGTCATTTCTTTAAGGAAATATCAATTTGTTTGAAGTAGAAGACAAGCCATTGCTCAATTGACAAAATCCAACCCATATTTCCCGATTCAAATCAAAATCCCTACTCATGAGACTCTTCGCACACAAAAATGTCCCACCACAAATGAAATAATGTAAGTCTAAGTTTATTATATATATTATAATTTAAATTTATCAAGCTTTCATTTTGAGAAAATTATTAAAATTTTCAAGAGAATAACATTAAAATTACCCTTACATTTTTATATATATTTTTTAAAAAAAAGGTTGTCACAAATAAGTCATTCTCTCTTTACATACTTAAATTCAACCTTTAATAAAATAAGATTTTAATGGGTGTTTGGGACTAATATCATAAAAAAATATAATAGTATTCGTAAATTTATGGAGAAAATATTTACAGCCAGCTCGCAAGCATTAAATTCACCCATACATAATTACTGACATTCGTTCATCATATTTATTATTAGCAATCAAAAGTTAGATAGGCCCCATGTGCCACCACACACCACAACCCACTTTCAAAAGTGGATCCCGAAGTACACCCTTTGCACCCAAATCTACATTACATAATTTTTCTCTCGATACTAATCCAATTTTTCATGTATGAAATAATTAACATTTAAATATTTAATCCTTAATGTAACATATTTGAATCAAATTCTTGGTTAAAATAATGAAATTTTCTTGCACACTTACCCACCCATCTACCACTTTATATAATATTTTTACTTTCTTTCATTTTAGTTTTATGTGCATGTTAAAATGTAGTAAAATTGTTTATAAATTATATTTGGTACGCATGCATGCATGTATTACGCAAAATATAAAATTTTTAAAGTTACAATAAATAATAAATTAAAATAATTTTTTTTAAAAAAATAAAATATTATGTATCCGATTAAATTCACTAAATTAAAATAATTTTAACCACATATAATTTGTTTTTCTCACCAAAAAAATAATAATAATAATAAAAAAGGAGTGGAATTTAGACCTCAAATGTTGGGTTGGTTGAGACTTCATCCTTGAGAAAATACACCAAGCCATAAGCTTGTGGAGCTCTGCATCACAAGTGCAATAAATGGTTCTTATCACAAACCCTATCAATATCTACTTCTTTACTCTTTCCGCAATTCTCTATACTTCATATCTATACCCTGAAAAGATTGTGTATTTTTTCGACCATTGGTCATATAAACTGGGATTATCGAGCAGTGAGATAAGTATTATTGGGTAAACCCTAAAACAATTATTGCTTACAAAATTTATAAATAAAATCAAAATAACTAAATTTTAATTACCTATATTTAAGGAATGCAAGTTACCCTTTTAATATACACGATGATTAACGAATTTAACCATAATTTGGATCAAAAGGATGTTATTAGAATATTGAGTTTAGTTTATGTTAAAATTTTGCCAAAGTGTAATGCTTATTCATTATTCAACTTTCAGATTAAAAATAATACATCAATTTACGAAATAATAAGTTACTAAGTATAAAAATATGCAGAAATTAAAATAGTATGTATTGAATTTTTGTTTTCTTGTGTTCTTGATCGAGATAATGTGTTTATACAGAAGAAAATTTAGGGTAAAAAAGAAAAAAAAAAAAAAAAAAAAAAAATTGGGAATGAAGGAGAAGCAGATCAGGAGACCAAAACTCCAGATCTGATCTCCTGCTCTGTGAAACGATCTTTTCAACTTCAACAACACAGATAACAATCAAGAGCTGAAGAAAATCGCAGATCGCATAAACAACACCAATACTAATCTACATATAAATCTAACATCATAAATTTCTCTTGTAACCCACCAACCAACCTAATACCAATCGTCCCCTTCTTTTTTCTTGATGATTTTCTCGAGAAAATAAGATTTCGAAAACGAAAATTATATTAAAGAAAGGACCATTACATCGGCGTCGGAACATCACAGGCGCAAGGCGGTGGCGTGAAGATCATCACCGGAAAAATCAACGGGGTGCGTCGTCTGTGGTGGGGGCAGGTTGAGATCGAAAGGGAAGACTGTGCGGAAAGAAGATGTGAGGACACAGTCATCGTCATCGACGACGGAGGATGAGGAATCGCAGTCGCTATGGCAATCATCGGGCTGCAGAGGCGGCTGCTGTACGGGTCTCCTCTTGTGGGCTCTCGGTGCGACGGCGCTGGCGGAGACAGCGATTCTGGGCCCGCTAAAGGACTCGACCGTGCTGCTCATGCTGCTGCTGGTTGGCCGGTTGACCTGAACCGGCTCGTACTTGGAGAATCCACCATCCTCCTGCGGATGGCGATGATGACGATTATGGCCTTGATATTGCGGGTAGACGGGAGGAGGAATCGAAGACGATTGTGTTGTGGGAAAGTTAGTTTTGGCCTTGGGTCCACGGAAGGAGCGTGCAGCGGCATCGTAAGCGCGGGCGGCGTCCTCGGCAGAGTCGAAAGTACCGAGCCAGACGCGGGTCTTCTTCCAAGGATCTCTGATCTCGGCGGCGAATCGACCCCATGGTCGCTTTCTGACGCCTCTAAACCGAATTTCTTTCACCGCGTTGGTCGAATCGGGCGCGATCGGTTTGGCTGTTAGATCTGTTTGCTTCGTGGTGGCTCTGCCTCGCCGCATGGGGGAAGGGTGAAGGGTGAAGATAAAGAATAAGAAAGGAGAAATACAAAGAAAGATGGTAGATTACCTTTTTCTTTTTCTGGTTTTTCTCTTCGATTATGAAGACGACAATGTATAGATACAAACAAATCTTGAAAAGGAAAGAAAAAATTGAAGATGTGAATTGGGCTGCCCACCAACCAAACGCGGTCTCCACCTCCCTTATAAAGAAGAAATATTATTGTTGAGAATTCATGGCTGCCTGTTTCCTTTACGGCTTTAGCCTCTGATTTTGGTTTCTTTCTTTTTCGCTCTTGTTGATTGTCTTCTTCTCTCTCCGGAATGAGCAATCCGGTTTCCTTGCTTGTGATGATTTTAGCTCTTTTATTCAGAGAAGGAGAAGGGCCTGAATTGGGTTTTCTTACGCAATTACAAATTTGCCATCCATTATTTACTTTTTACCTATTAATATAATATAAATAAATAAAAATAAACTGAAACCACTACTTTGGGAGTTGGCCCAATCGAGACTTGCTTTTTTTTTTCCTTCTTTTCTATTTGTTGCTTTTTATTTTCTTTTTCTTATTTTCCTTACTCTTTTTTAAAAAAATTTTATATGTTAGACATGATATTTTTCAAAATATTGTTTAAATAAATTTTAATAATAGATAATTAATATATGATAATAACAGTGATTTAATGTTAATAACACAGCATGAAATGATAAAATTTGTTTATGTTTGAATGATTATTTATTAATTTATGTTAATAACAACTGTTTTATTTGAATGATATAATTGTATGATTCTATTTTTAATAGAATTATTAATTTATTATATATAATAATAAGTGATATATAAGAAATAAATAATTAAAATAAATAAATTATATAAGAATATAATTAAATTTATATTTAAATAAATAATTATTATACATAATAAAATTAAATTTTTATATTTGATAAAATAAATAATTATTATTTATATTGTAAATATCGGACTCGGAATTTAGTCCAATATCAAATTTAACATTCTAAAATATATAAAAAATTTATTTTTTAATTATTTTAATTTTTGTTAAATTTATGAAAAAAAAATAGCTTATGGAAGAAATTGAAAATAATTTTAGAAAAAAAGAGTGAAAATTTAGGTTCATGAAGTGTTTTTGAAAGAAAAATTAGAAACTATGGGTCATAGTGCAAATAGAAAAAATTGTGCCACGTATGACTGCTCTGTCAGCAACCCAGACGAACCAGAGCATGCCGCACGGTAAGACACGCTGACATCGGTGCCATGCAGGATACTACGTAGGCGATCCGCGTGCCCTGCGATCGAACGGCGCAGGATCGATCTCGCGCACGTGGATAGCCCGAATTTGTTCCCCCTTTAAATATGATCGGACGACCGAGATCAAATTACGATAAACGATCTAAATTCATTTCTTCATTAGATGCGATCGGACTGACGAGGTCGATCGCGATGGACGGTCCAGATCAATGTGGGATGAGTATAAATACCTCGCATCACATGAGAACCCAAACCCTACCCTCCAGTTCCTGGCGGAGAAGGAAGCTGACTACCGACCGCTGCCACAACGGAGCCACTACTAACCGCCAAAAGAGGTAAAAAATTTCCTTACTCGCTCAAAATTTGATTCTGAGCATCCCCATAGCCAAATTGGAGCAAAAAGAATAGTAGGTGAGCCGAAAGCTGAGGACAAAGCTCGGCGGAGCCGCCGCGGCCAAAGTCCCAAAACCCCTCCGATGAGCCTCATTTCTGATTTTCGTTTTACGTAATTTTTTTATCATTATATTCGTCGTCCTTTTTTGTGCAGGTTGGCCGAAGAAAGAATCACAGTCCCCCCGCCGGTGAGTTCGGTTTTCTATGATTTTTTGGCCAATCGATGCCCTTAACGTATTTTTCTGCAGGAATACAACCAAAATCGCCTAAAAACCAATATAAGTCGGCTAGGCCGATGCGAACTGCCGCCATGTTGGAATCCTGAAATTGGCCAAAACAAGTTTTAGATATCAATTTTGGATTTCTAAGGTATTTTTAGGTGCGTGACAAATGTTTTGAATTTCGTAGGAATAATTTAGCAAACCTGGCATTCGTTAGAAAGCGTAGTAGACAGCGCGACGTCTTGAAACACCAATTCGGGTAAGGATCCCTCACTATTTTC